CCTCCTCCTTGTTTGAAATCCAAGTGGCTCTTGGTATGTTGGTCTGTGCCAAACCTCCAGTATTCCACGCACCAGAATTGATCGAGTCGCTTTTTAGAGGGAGGCTCCTTGATAGGTGCTTTGACTGGCTCGTTGAGATGCCGGTAGAATTTGTTGCATCTTCATGAAAGAGCTTATTCTGAAATAGTAGTGGCTCACTCCGCATTAGTAAACGGCTTCCTCAACCTCTGAGCCTTGCCTGTAGCTTCATCTTTATTCTTTGTTGCGAAGCTCGCAATACAGGTCTTATTCTCCCTAACGGCTCTTGCATAAGATGCTCCTGGCCTGTGGCATGCATACTTGTTTTGTTGTGACACCATATTTTTTTATTTTCGCTAAGGATGGAGAAGGTCTTTGCGATGGTTTTCAATTTTTGATTCTGAATTCTCTTTCTTCCATGGCTGGTTCCACTGTGGGCTTCGTGAACTCTCTCTTTGTATTGCTGGCCAGCATAACAGGGACAGCAGTCCGCGTACATTTAATTCATTGATTTCTAGATAAGTTAGATGGTTATCTTTGATGATATTGTGAGGGCGACTGATTTGCAGCTTTGAAAATATCGTGCCCGTATGCTTGTTGAGATAAATCTTTTTGCAGGCTTTTCTGCCGTTGACGCACAGGGGGATTGGCTTGAGTTTTCAGCAGCTTAGTAGAGATTCGATCTTCCATATCCAATACTAGATTCAAGCTTCATTGGTATCCGTATAGCTGCGTTTTGTTACAGCCTCAGGGCTCTGGGGTTGTAGGTCTTCAGGCTGCTTAGTGGGGATAAGTGTTGGTTGCCGATGCATTAATTATTGCTTTCGCACAGCTGCCGACTATCTGTCAAAGTCAGTATCGCGTGAGCTTCTGTTCCTTAATAATCCACCTCCTGGTATTAGGCAAGAGTATTTGAATTGTGGCTAGAAAGGATGTTTGGATTCCTGCTTGCCAGATCAGTGTATTGTACCTTTACTACCCCGCCAGCAAGTGATGTATCTCTGGGGACTAAATATAATAGACCAACATCAACATCCTTGTAAATTGATCCTTTGTACCCTGTTTTCTGTTTTTCTGTTGGTTATTTCTGCGTTGGTGACTGTGGCCTGGCGGTGTTGGTGCTGCTCTCAGTTAGGCCAACTTGAGAAAAGATATCGTCTGGTTGCTATCTGAAGCTTGCCTGTTAAGGTTTTGCCCGACTCAATAACCGATTTTTTCGACCTCAGCTTGTTCGGCGATCACTGAGGGACCGCGCTCTTGTTGGACCCGCGACGAGGCGATGCCGGTATGACTTTCGTATTTATTCATATGGTATGATATTTACTAAATTTAAACCACTAGTTAGGGCAAACTTTTCCTGGACATCAGGGCACGTCCATACGTCCGTGGACCATAATGTCAACAGTTATCGGAGTTTGCTAACTCCAGATGCGGAAAGGAGCGGCTAATTTTTATCGAGACACCATCTCTAAGGGGGTTGCCATTCAAAGGCTAAAGAGTCCTCCTACGCCATAGACAGATTTGCCCCCCGTCGACGCCAACCGATACTTAAGGTCTCGGGAGAAGCTAACAGGTGCTACACCTTGCTCAAGGGTGACACTGGAGGTAGTTGTGGCCAAAGGCGTAACCTCATTCTTCCCACGTTGAAACTCCAACCACCGACGCACGTTTGTAAGTCATACCCAAAGGACAATTATTATTATTATTATTATTATTATTATTATAATTATTATTTAGGATAGATGAGTTATAGCAACTTACAATGCTGGTGTAGAACGTGCATATTAATCCAGAACTCAGTATTGATGCCGTGATAGACAGACCTGTCGCTAAAAAAATAGATAAATATTATATGGTTCAACGCATTTTACTAGGGACAGAACATCTGAGTAAAAAAGTTGATGAATGCACGTTAATAAACAATAGAATGTTAGATATTAGATATATAGATGTTAATAAATACTGTTGTGCACGAATACTATTATAGCCTACGTCGCAATTAATGGTAGCAGAACTTGCAGATGGTGACACATATTTACCTTGGGATAGCGCGAGTGCAGGAGCGTAAAGTACAACGGCCATGTAGAGGAACTGCGCGAATGCCGTCATGTGCAGGAAAACCCCGAAAAAATAAATTAAGGAAACAACCAAATGAAAATTAAGCAGCGAAACTAGCTACACTTAGATTTTAGTCAGAGATTTATTCGTGTATTATCGGGAATCCTTCCTTTAGCTTCCGTGTAATAAAGAAATCATTTACGTACTGACATGAGAATGATATTGTGGGATTATAATGTAATTATAAATGTAATTATAATGCTTAAATCGACTCAATATTTTGTCGTTTCTTACCGTGCTCACAAGAAACACGCATGTCCCCATCAGGCGAACAACGCGGTTAAAGCGAAGCTCTATGTACTGCAGAGAAAGAGAGAGACAGGTGTGTACAGAGTCATGTGGACGCTTCGAAGCTCACATGGTTTCTTAGGAGGTTCTTGAGTGGAGTGTAAACCACGCAGCGATTGATTTAGTAGTTGTTTCAACATCACGTTATACTTTTGATAAATATATTATATCATTATCATTTTCTTATCGAGTAAAATATATTATACTATATACTTATACTATATACTATATTATTATATATATATATATATATTAATATATATATATATATACTTAGAATAAGCGTGGTGAGAAACCTATACTAAATCTATTGTAGTGTTTGCTTCTATACCTCGTAGGCACTTGTCACCTGTAGACGGTAGAAGCACAGGTAGATATATGTGAGGGCAGTGAGAGCATAGCAGGTATGGTAGCAAACATCATCGTCCAATATCAATTGTTCCAAATCGGTAGGTTCAGACGGATCCGAGCACGGAAATGCGGACATACGAAACTTGGTCTATCCAACGACATACGTCACGCGGAAACAGACCCATCTGCCTGTTTCCGCATGTTTCCCATCAGGAATTCCTTCGTCGTGCTCTGTTTTCCACCCGAGCATGCAGAATATACGCCGATGCCGGCAGAAATAACGAGCGATGCGGCGAACACAACATAGTCAACGATCGTGAACACGTGCTCCGCCATTGTAGAGTTACGGTTATATCCTCCGATATATCCAACAACTTATCCTGTTGTTGATTGTTCAATGTTTTTCGTACCGTAAAGTGCTCGACATTTGCTGTTCACGTTTGTTATGAAATCGAGTTAGCACCGGTAAGCGACAAATCCTCGATATACATTTATACGCCGTAGTTCGTTCTTTCGATATACATTTATACGCCGTAGTTCGTTCTTTCGTCACTGCTACGCGGTCGTTCCCGTCAACTAGTTAGTATATCAGTATCTATGTGGCGAACATATATATGTACTGAACCTGGCCATATGCGTTTAACCTATCCTGCTTACATGGCATTGATTGATCTTATTGGTGCGGTGGTCACAATCATAGTGTCAATATAATGAATGCACAGCTAATCTGTTTTTTTTACCAGTCTACTTTTGAACAGCTAGTCTTATATAGTTATTATTAGTTTATTAATTATTATTCACTCCTGATAAGATAATATAATCATGAATAATTTTATGCGTAGCTTGTGCTGTCCATATTATGGAAAGCCATCCCCTTCAAAAATCTTTTTCAAACATTTCAAATACACAATTTTAAATCAATTTAAAACATTTCAAATTAATTAATAAAAATACAAATTACTTTATATTGTTTGAGAAATTTAAATTCAAAATTTAAAATCAATTCACAGAATAACAAATCAATTTATTAACTTGAAAATTAATTCACAACTTTCCAAAATAATTGCCTGATATACAAATCTCTTCACATCATTGTAAAAATTCATTTTCTAAACGTACAATTTATTTTCAAAACAACAAACCAATTTACTAACTTGCAATTTAATTGAGAACATTTTGCATAAACTCACAAATGTTCAAATCTTGCTACATCACCCTAAAATTATCAGTTTTAAATTAATTTACAGAATAACGAATCAGTTCACTAACTTTGAAATTAATTTATTACTTTTAACATTAGTCACCAGAAATGCGAATCTAACTGTTGGTTTCAGAATTATTAGGTACAAACGACAAATGTATAGCTTAAATTAAAAATTAATTATACAGCTTTCAAAACATATATAAATGTTTACAATCAAAGAGCTCATTTAACAATCAATTTATGCAACTTTCAATCTATTCAAGACCTCTGAAATCACTTGCTAACGTTTACAATTTGCTGCCCACTCTGTTGTTTCCGGTCTGTGTGCAAAACTATTCAGGAAACTTTGAATCAATTCATAGGACTTGCAATCTATTCACTACACTTTCCGAACCAGCCAACTACAAACCAAACTCCAAATTAATTCATTCTAAAAGTGCCCGGATGCTTCAGCTCGGATGGATACGCTGTAGTATTGGAGGATCCGATTTTTACCACCCTGCGGGAAATATGTGTTTGTTTACAGCTGTACACTACAGTGTAGTGACAGTGTTGCCCAAGGAGCGTTTAGCGTGACGTCACGTTTAGGTCACGTGTGTAAACATAGCTCTGCTGGTTGGCAAAAGCGTTCGCCGGCACAGGCACTTGGAACGTCTCAATAAAATAAAAGAATGGTAAATAAACAAGAAATGTATTTACTACCAAAGTCTTAATGTTTCTCTACTCTATTTCGCCTATAATCACCTGTAAATGCCGGTCAAATTATGCTCATCTGCAACACACAAGCACACCCCAGACCCCCCC